CTTTGGCTCAAGTCATGGCTCTCAGGGTCCTGAGATCAAGCCCTGCATTGGGCTCCCAGCTCAGCCTGGAGTCTGCTTCTCCCTCTGCCTCTGCCTCTCCCCCTGCTCACTCATGCTCTCTCTCTCTCTCAAATAAATAAATAAAATCTAAAAAAGAAAAAATATATAATACTGAGAAAATGTCAACTGGGGAGAAATTAAAGCACGGGGCAGGGGAGGGAGTCTGATGGATAGGAGAGGGGTGCTAAAACTGTCCACTCTTGGCCAAACCTTGGGGTCACCTCTGGGCGAAAGCTGCCAATTTATATTTACTAAAGTATGGTTCTTATCAAAGTCCCCTTTGCTTAAATCTTTTCAATGAGTCTGGAGAAGCTGCAGAATAGTTTCCAGAATCTTCTGCCTCACATTCAGGATCCACCATTCTTGCCTCGGGCTGTTACAGGGCATTTTGCCCCAACACCAACTTTTCATTTCATGTACTTCATTTCATTCGATGGCCCCTGAATACACCAAACTATTCTGACATCTACATCACTGTCCAGAAGTGCCCACCAATTGGCCCTCCCCAGGTCCTCTCACCTAATGAGAGTCTATTAACACCCCCCCCCCCCCCCCCCCCCCGCCAAGGCTTGACTCAAGCCTTGTTCTCCCAAGGAAACTTCACAACCACCCAGCCTACAATGCTTCCTTCTTTCTTGGAATTTGCAGTGCTTCTTACTGTCAGGATAATGGATTCAGGCACTTAACTGCATAACTTTCTTGTATTGTTGTTGAGACATTTCACATGTTGATGTTTTCTCTCCCACTGGACAGAGATCCATTTAGGGTAAGCACTGCCACATACCACTTTGGATTCCCATGGTGCCCAGCCAGGTCAGCGTGGGATATAGTGTAGGTAGGCAATGGGCTGCTGAGTTGTGAGCCATCCCGAGGCACTCTCCTCTATGGGCCCACAGGATAACAAAAAAGAGGCTGCAGATAGAGAGACAGTCATCTTTATGGAAGCAAAGACTCTTTCCAAGAAACATATGCCAAATGGTTCTGAGACTCTGGACCTGGGAAAACCGAGTGTTTATGACCTAATCTCAGCCTAGTCAACCCATTTCCTATGCTGATGACTAATGACTTGGAGTGAAGTCTTGTTACCTTTCACTTAAGCGATGTAGCTTTAAACACACGCCAGCTTACACCCACACATCTGTCCTCCTGTACATACCAGCCCTCAAGCAGTAAATGGTGTCACCAGGTTCATGAGAAAGGCCACAGTGCTGGGGCGGAGGGGAGGAGGAGTAAAGATGGGGCTTTAGAACTTTTGCAAAACTGTCACCTTTAGAGGGATGCCTGGGTGGCTCAGTGGTTGAGTATCTGCCTCCAGCTCAGGTCATAATCCCAGGGTCCTGGGATGGAGTCCCACGTCAGGCTCCCTACAAGGGAGATTGGGCCCCGCATTGGGCTCCCAGCTCAGCGTGAAGTCTGCTTCTCACTCTCTGTCTGCTCTTCCCCCCTGCTCACCCATGCGCTCTCTCTCAAATAAATAAATAAAATCTAAAAAAGAAAAAAAAAGAGATAATACTGAGAAAATGTCAACTGGGGAGAAATTAAAGCATGGGGCGGGGCCTCCCCTACAGGGAGCCTGCTTCTCCCTCTGCCTATGTTTCTGTGTCTCTCATGAATAAATAAATACAATCTTTAAAAAAAAAAAAATCTCCTTTAGAAAGAAATCAAAAGGAAGGGTCTGAGTGACAAGTATCCAAGACCTCTTTGTACTATTTTTGCAACTTTTCTGTAAGTCTGAAATTATTCAAAATAATTAATAAAATTTTAAAGCACAAATAGCCAAAGTCACCTTCTCTATACATTTTCCTTCCCACCTTCCTCAGCCTTTTAAGAATAAACATTTTTCCAACACATTCACATATGATTTATAGCTGTGAATCTTTCAACTCCCCCTATTAGGCAAGAAGTATAAAATGGAAAATGAAAATACTCAGAGCTTTTAAATCTTTTATAATATAATAATAATAATATTTTAGGATATTAAATTAGAATATTAAGAGTAGAAGAGAAGGTTTAAATTTTTTTTTAGGTATTTGAGAAACAGAGAGAACAAGAGAGAAAGTACTAGCTGGGAGGAGGAGAGCTCCGGAGAAGTAGACTTCCAGCCGAGCAGGGAGTTGGATGCACAGCTGATCCTAGGACCCTGATATCATGACCTGAGCTGAAGGTAGACACTTAACCAACTGAGCCACCCAGGTGCCCCAAAGAGTAGGGTTTTGATATTTTGTAACCTGGGGCAAGATATTACTTTTCTTAGGTGATGGTTTCCTCATCTTTAAAACAGAATTAGGGCAGCCCGGGTGGCTCAGCAGTTTAGCGCTGCCTTCAGCCCAGGGTATGATCCTGGAGACCCAGATCGAGTCCCACATCTGGCTCCCTGCATGGAGCCTGCTTCTCCCTCTACCTGTGCCTCTGCTCTCTCTCTCTCTGAGTCTCTCACAAATAATAAACAAAATCTTTAAATAAATAAATAAAACGGAATTAAAAATGCCTAATTCTTAGCATTGTTGTAAGAGTTAAATGCAAAGATAAATGTTAAATAATTAATATAATCCCTAGTCTGTAGGTGGTGCCCAGACATACTACATCCAAATATCAAAAAATTTCAATCACCAAGCTCTATTCACTTTGTGTCCTCACCACCTAAAGAAAGCACCTGGCCCAGAGTAGATGCATAATAAATACTTACTGTATAAGGGAGGATGAAATGAATAAATGTACTAATTCTAAAGCAACTTATAGCTGACCCCACAGCCCCTACAACAGCCCCAGTTTTTGCCATCCCTTCTGAGTGACCTCATGAGAGGTCTCTCATGAGACCTCTCTTTTCCACATCTATGAAATGGGTTGGTTTTCATTAAAACCAGAAAGTCTAGAGAGGGATATACAGCTCCTGGGATCTAAGACCCCTAGAATGAGGACTGGAAAAAAAAGAGGACCCCTACAACAGCCCCAGTTTTTGCCATCCCTTCTGAGTGACCTCATGAGAGGTCTCTCATGAGACCTCTCTTTTCCACATCTATGAAATGGGTTGGTTTTCATTAAAACCAGAAAGTCTAGAGAGGGATATACAGCTCTTGGGATCTAAGACCCCTAGAAAGAGGACTGGAAAAAGTGGGGCAAATGTGGGACCCAGCAGCCTGCCAGGCCTGTAGAGTTTCATCCCTCCTACAGCATCCCCACTTCTCAGAGCAATGCCCCAGCTCCCGATTATAGACACAGGCGTGGCTGAAGGTGAGCCCTTTTGTCCGGCCTCAGTGTGACTGAAGGAGAGGCCACAGCTCTGGGGACATCCGGAGTCTGGGAACCAGAGAGTGCAGGCCCAGGGGTTCTCAGAGCCCAGGACACTGTGCTAGGTAGGTGCCTCAGGCAGTGGAGACCTGAGCTTTGGCTGCTGCCCTTTCCTCTTCTGGTCTCCTCCCACCCCAGGCTTCAGGGCTCTCAAGGGCAGACCCCAGCATCCCACCAGAAAGCTCCCGGTCCCCCCCACACACACACACTCCCCTTGGCCCTAGGCCCCTGGAGGGCCCAGAGGCCAGGTCCCTGGAGCCCCAGAGCGTGGCCCAAGCGCAGAGGGAATTCCATGCCTTTGGCCTTTCCTTCCGGAAGGGAGTGAGTGATGCATATTTTGGCCGGCGCCACGTGCCCTGCTGTTTGCTTCAGTGCTTCCCAGCGGACCGTCCCCCTGAGCTCGGCCCTCACGCCCCCGGGGTGCAGGCTAGCTTAGCTCTGCCCGCTTCTGGATCTGAGGATGGGCGGCTGCTGACAGGCAGAAGGAGAGAGAACGAACGCGAAAGGCCAAGGGAAGGCCAGGCAAACGGTGGCTGAGCTGCCAGGACAGGCAGGGAGGCCAGCAGAGCGGGAGCAGACGCTGCTGGGCCGCCTCAGCTGCCCCCTCCACGCCTCGGCGTCCTTCTGGTCAGCCTGCGGTTTCCTGTGACAAAACCAGCCAGGGAGCGCAGGGGAGAGGAGAGGAGAGGAGGAGCGAGGGAGAAGGGAGAGGAGGGAGGTGAGAGAGGCCAGAAGAGTGTAAATGGGAGAGAAACGGAGAGAGAGGGGATGGAGGCGGGAGGGAGGGCAGATCCAGAGAGAAGTGGAAGCAGAGAGGGTGAAGGGGGTGGGGGGACGAAACCGAGATGCAGAGGAGAAGCGGAGAGGGACAGAGTGGGCACCGAGGCGGGGAAGCCGGGCAAGGCCTGGGCCCTCGGCGGTGGCCGCGGTGGGGCCGCTCCTCTGCTCCAGCGGGTGCGGCCCGGCCCCTGCGCTCCCGGGCCCCTGCCCTCCCCACCCCTGCGCTCTCTGCCCCAGCCATCCCGGGCCCGGGCCCGGCCCCCGGCCCCCTGCCGTCCCCGCCCCTGCACTCCCAGCACCCCCCCCCCCCCCGCGCTCCCGGCCCCCTGCCCTCCGTATCCCTGCACTCTCTGCCCCAGCCATCCCGGCCCCCTGCCCTCCCCGCCCCTTCGCTCCCAGTCCCCGGCGCTCCCGGCCCCCTGCCCTCCCCATCCCTGCACTCTCTGCCCCAGCCATCCCGGCCCCCTGCCCTCCCCTCCCCGCCCCTGCGCTCCCGGCCCCCTGCCCTCCCGGCGGCGAGCCCTGAGCTGCGAGGGCGGGCGCGGGCGGGGTGCGGGGGGGCGCGAGGGAGGGGCTGCCGGTGGGAGGTGACCATGTGGTTCCAGCTCACTCCTTTTTTTTTCCCCCCTCTCTCTCTTTCTTCACTTCTTTTTCTTTCCAAACAGGGAAAAGTGTTCCCCGGAGCGGTAGCGCCTTTCCGCCTGGCCCTTCCCTCCGCGACCCTGGTCCCCGCTCCCGTCCGGGCGCGAGCTGCGGGGCGAGCGCTGGAAGCCCCTCGGCGCCGGGGGGCGCGGGGCGGGGGCGCGGGGCGGGCTCCCGCGCCGGCACATGGCCGCAGCCGCCCCGCGCGCTCCCCGAGGCGCGGCGCCCGGCTCGTCCGAGGTCCGTCGGCTGCGCCCGGCCGCCCCGGAGCCCCGCAGCGGCTGAGCGGGGCCGTGCCCGCGCCCGGGCGCCGGGATGCGCGTCCTCCTCGTCGTCCTGCTCTGGCGAGGTGAGTGCTCGGGGCGGGGGAGCCCCGCGGCGCGCCGACCCGGCTCCGAGCGGGGTGCCCGCAGCCCCCCGGAGGGCGCTCCGCGGGCGCACATCTGGCGCGGGGGCCCGCCCAGTCGGCCGGGGGCGCGCCTCGCACAGCTGGGCCGGGGGCGGCCGCGGGCTGCGGCTGGTTCCCGGCGGAGTTTGGCCGCGAACCGTCCGAGGTGGAGGGCTTGGGCTTGGGCTTGGGCTGGGCGGGGGGTGGTTGGGGTTTGGTTTCGGGAGTATCTCCGGGGCAGGCGGGAGAATTGGGGGAGGGAGGAAGGTTTCTTCTGGAATTTCTGTGCCAGGTTCCTGGGGGTGGGGGGGGAGCTTTTTTGTTTCAAACAGGCGCCTCGAGGGCTCAGATTAGAAACAGATGTGTTGGAGGGGAGGCGGGGAGGCGCGGGGGGATGGAGGAAGAGGCGGAGGAGACGAAAGGTGGAGAGGGACAAGGCAGGACCGGGGAGATGCCCCCGCGAGGGCCAGAAGACCGGGAAGCCCAAGGGGTGGGGAGCTCGAGAGGAAAGAGGAGAGAAGGGGAATATGAAGCAGAAGCGCAGGACGGGGGAGATGGGGCTGCAGAGGGTCAGAAAGAAGGAAGAAAATGGAGTGGAAGGGAAGAAAGAGAGGTTCCGGGGCAGAGAGGAGAGCTCTCGGGGTGTCCACCTGGGTGTGAGAGAGGCCCTGCGGCACATTCTCACCTGGGCGGGAAGCAGGCAGGTTTGCAGGACAGGGCAGGACAGCAGTTGCACCAAGGATGTGTGTGGACAAGAACTGACAGGAGGACCTGGAGCTTCTGAGCCCCCGGGGCCCTGGGGGATTGGGGGGGGGGCAGGAGAGCCCAAGAAAAACCGCGATAGGCTCCCCCAGCCCCAGGCTGAAAAGTTAGCCCGGGGTTCAGAAAACCCAGGAGCCCGCTGGGTGTAGTAGAGTGCACGCTGCCCAGGGCACCAGACCTCCTGACCACGAGTCCTGGTTTCCAGCTGCCCAGCTGGGTGATCACGGACAGCTCACCACCCAGGGCTTCGGTATCCTTAGCTCGAAACAAGCAAATTAGATGGTTCCCAGATCCCTTGTAAGCTCTGACAGCCTAAAACACCAGGGGTGTGCGGGGGCCTGATGTCTAGAAAAATCCCCACACCAAAGTGAAGAAGCAACTTAAAAAGCCACCCTGAAGTGGGATTTCTAGAGCTCGCTCTCTCTCTCTTTTGTTCTTAAGCTTACAAACCGACTAGGCCCCAAGCGTGCCTTTCTAGGCCAGCCTCGGGTCAGCAGTCACCCGGGTGGAGGAATAAAGACGGTGGATTAGCCTCAGCTGTCACTCAGGTGGGGCAGGTGGGCAGCCGCTACCTTCTCAGCTCCTTCAGATACTGGCCGAGAATTGCCAGACTGCCCCTGTGCACAGCTGGCATAGCTGGGTGGCACCTTTGTCACCTTTCCTGGCCTCCACCCCGAAGCTGTGAATCACCAGATGTTCACTGGACTCAAAAGTTCAGAAACGCACCCCCACCCCCTTTACTAAAAACAGCTGGGATTCTTTAAGTACTTCTGCTGAGCACTTGATATGAACTGTCTTGTTGAGTCATTTCTCCCTCATGCCGGGCCTATTGCCTGCGCACTGTTGTTTGCCCCGTTGTACAGCTGAAGGAGTCAAGGTGTAAAGAGGTCAGGTAACTTGCTTGAGGCCATAAGTTCCTAATGAACAGAGATGGGATTTGAATGTAGGTTGTTTGCCTTGAGAGGGTGCTCGCTAAAGCATCCCATGTACAGCCTTCTGTCCCTACGGAAGGACTTAAAGGTGTTCCTTGGAGTGGCATCCAGTGTAGCCCTCTTCGCCAAGGGTGAGAGGTCAAGGTGAACCTGCCCTGAAGGAGGGGTCTGGGCAAGGGATAGAAAGCTCAGCGAAAGGAGTTTGAACCCCTGCTGTATACCAGGGGTATAGTGGAAAGTGACAAGTGGAAAGTGACAAGTGACTTTGTCCCCCACGGTCAGTTGAAATCAACTGGCCGGCCTTGCTAATAGTCATCCTCTTGGTTCATGAGAAAGAGGAACTGGCGAGACAGCATCAAAAGATGTCATTGGAAAAAAAGATGTCATTGGTTCACCATCCCTTCTTTACTGACTGCCTGCTGTGGGTGACTGTTCCTGTGGTGAGAAAACAAATCTGTTGGGCTGATAGTCTCTTTATCATAGAAGCTGCCTCTCACGATTCCTTTGTTGATTCTATCCTTATAAAATGAGAGCAAACGACAGGCGACAGGCCATGTGGAAGAGAAAAAGGAGGGTACAGACTTAGCTTTCTGCGCAACTGGATGTTTGTCACTCACACCCACTATTCAGCTTTTGCCACATCTGTGTTCTTTGTCAGACATGCTCAGGCTCCTGCCATCCGAGTTCAAGTGAAAAGTCACAGAGTCGATAAGCTGAAGGGTCCGGACAAGGGACAAGGCAGGAGACCTGAGGTGATGTTGGTGATCCAGAGATCACACACGGAGGAAGAAACCCTGGAAGGGACCCCTCTATGCCTGACATTCCTTCCTGGGTTGGAAGGCCCCAGGGAAGCACTCCTGTGGGTGGGATGGACCTTATTTGCTGAGCGGTTTTGAGCCCTGGTATGCCTGGCACTCCAGGGAAGCCAGAAAGAAAAGCCTCAGAGTTGCCTGAATCCTAAAATCGGCTACTGGTCCCTTAAAGGGACAGTTCCAGGGCTGCTTATGATCACTGCTGGCATGATCTCTGGCCTCTTTTTTTTTTTTTTTTTTTTCCTAGAGAATGCACAGTGCTGAAGGGGAGTTGGGAGGGCTCAGTGTTCATAATCTGAGCAAGGGTGGACCCGTTGACCTCATGCTTTCTGGACCTGCCAGTGAATGAAATCAAATGCCACACCTCTCTGATGTGAATGAACTGAGTAATGTTCTGAGCTCCATGGAGGAGAGAGAAGGGATACTTCACAGGCTCCCCCGGCCCCAGCCCCTCCTCTGACCCCTTGCCTTCTCCCCCCACCACCCCATCTTGATGCTCAGGTCCTCATTTCACCTTAAGTTCTCACTTGGACTTCTATGATGGCCACCATATTGGCCTCCTGCCTGAACCCCCTTTTCTACCCTGGACTTTAGAATCTGGCAAACTCTCTGGGTTCTTGTTCTGACTCTCTTGTCCCTAAAACACAGGTAAGGAGATCTTTCATTTAAAATTTCTATGATTCTAAAAAATAATTTAAAAAATAAATAAATAAAATTTCTATAATTCTATGACCTTAGTCTCTTCCTTCATAAACCTTTAGAAATCTCCATTGTTTATGACATTGAGTACAAACACTTCATTTTCCTGTTAAAGATGCTACACAGTGTCATTCACAACTCTGTTCCTCCCACTCCACGCAACTCTGCAGGGAACTGAGATTCTTTCCTGTGCCCTAAACATGCCCCGGGTTTCCTTCCGTTTCTATGCTTCTGTTTATGATAGTCTCTCCACCAAAGATGCCCTCTCACTCTCCACCCTGAAGATCGAAATCATGCTCACACTCCAGAGCTCACCCCAAATACCACTTCCTCCATATGCCTATGCACGATTTCCCCCAATCAGGATATACTTTCCTTCTTTTGAGTCACAGTAGCCTTTCTGTTACATGGCTTTGCGTGATGGTGATCCAAATGCTCATCTAATGGCCCAGTGAGAGCCTAAGCTCCATGCAGACAGGGTAGTGTCGCATTCATCTGTGTGCCACTTTCAGTACCTTGCATAGACTCAAAGCTGTGGGCCAATTGTTAAGATAATCAGATTTTTTAAACATTTGGAACACTTAAGGTAAAGAGAGGCAAAGGATTAGGAGGATTGCTACTCTATGGAATGACACAACTGTAAGGATCCCAGTTGTGGGTTGTTTTTTTTTTTTTTTAAGATTTATTTATTTACTTGAGAGAGAGTGCACTAGTGGAAGGGGCAGAGGGAGAGGGAGAGGGACTCTCAGGCACACTCCGTGCTGAGTGTGGTGCCTTACATGGGGCTTGATCTCATAATGCTGAGATCACAACAGGAGCCAAAACCAAGAGATGGATGTTCAGCCAACTGTACCACTCAGACGCTCCACACATAGCCTAGTTTTAACTCCACTTCCTTTTGGGCTTTCTTGTCCATTTACACAAATAGGACCAGTACCTTTTAAAAAAATTATATATAGAACATTACATGCACAGGGACCAGGTAATATATTTGTTACACAAACTTATTTTGTTATAGGAAGGACATTAGTACCAGATTCACGATAGATTTCTTCATTGAAATTTCTACCAGGGTGGGAAGGAGCTTTGTTTCCCAGAAAATGAATTTGAGGAAGGCTTGACTGCATGGTCCGTTGGTCTGTAGTTCAATGACAGGTCTCAGTAGGATTCCATGCCCTGCCTTCATCTTCCCACATTAATGATGATGGCCATAACAATGATACATTCCTCCAGTAGGCTCCTGTCTTGTCTCATCCTATTTTTGTCTTGTACTCAGCTGGGCAGTATATACATGAGTGTATTTCATGAATGTACCTAATGGTAATGAACTAGATAGACATTTTTAAAAGGTGGGGCCAAAGATTGTCAGAACTGGGGAGAAGCTAAGAGACTGTCTAAAAATGGAAAGTTCTTCTTTTTTTTAATTTTATTTATTTGAGATATCATGAGCATGAATGGGGTACGGACAGGTGACAAAGGGAAAAACAAGACTGTCTACTGAGCAGGGATCCCGATGTGGGGCTTGATTCCAGGACCCCGGGATCATGACCTGAGCTGAAGGCAGATGCTTAACTGACTGAACCACCCAGGCATCCCTAAAAATCAAAGATTCTTAAAATTTGGAATCTCAGACCCCACTGAGAATTTGATGAAAACCACGAAACTGCTTAGAAAAAGACACATATACGTTGAATTTTGTCGAAACTTCTAGGGATTTATTGACCTCCTGATGCCCTTACTATCAAGTGAATCCTTG